ACGAATTCTCGAATAATTAAATAATTACTGTTGAATTTACGAATTCTCGAATAATTAAATAATTACTGTTGAATTTACGAATTCTCGAATAATTAAATAATTACTGTTGAATTTACGAATTCTCGAATAATTAAATAATTACTGTTGAATTTACGAATTCTCGAACAACTAAATAATTGCTGTTAATAAGAATAAAGAGTTAAAAGTATGAAAGTATTACTATCAACAAACAATTGCATAAATTTAACTATTGCACAAAGGATGAATAAAATTGCACTGATTTCATTGGTACTTCATTGGAAAATAAAAAAAAAAAAAAATTACTTCATGATATCATTGATAGTAGCAAAAATTTTGGTCATTTGTTAGCTTATCTTTTCATTTGTAAAAATTTCTTAAAATAAAAAATGAAATTAATCAGAAAAAAAAAACTAAACATTTTGTTTAAAAATAACAAGCTGATGATTTCATTTTGTGTAAAAAAGAAAAAATGACAATTCCAAATGTCACAAACTTGCTACTACTATCAATACAAAATACAATTGTATTCTAAATCATAATAATGATTATATTAATAATCCACTGATTGATAATGATAACAATGAAACTTTAAATGATACATAACAAAAAAAGAATCTTTTAATTTCTAATTTGTATGGCTAACAATTATTTGGTGCTTCGTTATAACCATGATAGAAGTTTGTATATATTAAAAAACAAATTATTGAAAATTACCGAAAGGGAAAGAGAGAGAGAGAGAAAAAGAGAGAGAGAGATTTCGTGTAAACAAATGAATGAAACAGTTTGACAGTAAAGATAAACTAAAATTAATTGAAGTATATCTGTCAATTTCTAAAGCTAACAATAAACTAAATGGAAAATTTGGTTTGCTTTATAAGCTTCTTTTTAATTTGGATGAAATGAAATGTAACAAAAATAAAATTTAAATTTGATTCATCCAAATTTAAATATTCTAATTAGCAGTGATCACATTTTAGTGTAATTTGAATTTTGTCAGATTAATTAAATAAATGTTTGACGAAAAAAAAAAGAAAACAAAGGCAGGAAATGAATTTATCATTGAAAACACCGAAAATTTAAGAATTTCATAACATATTTTAGTTTTTCTAATAACAAATTAATCTTAAAATATAGGTTATCATCACTAAGTTACTTTAAACTTTTAAATTAATGATTAAAAAGTTGCAAAATTTACCAATCGTTCCTAAAAAAAAAAATAAAATAAAAATAAAAAACTAACATTGAAATATTTTGTATATAAACCTATATGGAAAGAATGAAAAATGAAAGAAAAAAGTCCGCAATATCGTGAATAGATTTAAGATTGGAATTGTTTGGTAAAAATTTTAAGCAATTATAATTCCTTTCTCATATTAGCTAAACAAATAATCGATCTTCTAAATTTCATGATGTTTCAAAAATCAAATACAATAACAAATGGTAAAGATATACAAGTATCATTAATTAAATCAGTAATAAGTAAATAATAAAAATTAAGGCCTAATCTAAGCATTGAGAAAAAAGAATCCTAAATGAATTTAAGCTGTAAAAAGCAATTTCAAAAAAATTATTTAATTTTTGAAACATAGCATATTTTTGAATATTTTACAGATTTTTTTTTTTACTGGAAGAATTTACAAAATGGCAAAGTTAAAGTGACAAAATTTCATGATGTTTGGATAGAGTTAAAAAATTAAATAAGTAATTTGAAATTGAAGTATGATTGTAGCATTTCAATTGTATAAGTAGAATTTTAGAAGATAAATTGAAAAGGAATGAATGAGAAAGAACATTTACAGAGCACCGTGAAATTTTTCTAGAAAATAAAAGGAAATGATATTTATTATCAAGCATGCTGATAAAAATAATCATTATTTTTCATCAGACATGTTGATAAGATAATCAGTCAGTACCAGTAATATCGATTGATATCTATCATGCAAGAATCTGAAAGAGATGACGAAGAAGAAGGAAGCATCATAAACTTTTTTATAAATATTCGAGATACGATTTAGCTAATCACTTATTATTGCGCATAAATTTTTAAAAATTGCTTATAAAAATCATCGGTAAAAAATCCTGAATTAAAAATAAAATTAGCAGCAGCAGATAGTTGTTGATGACGATGATGACGATTGGAAGATCGCTCCAAGTGAGGATGTCGCTGTTTTCGTCGTAAAGGAAATCGCAACGGTTGCGATAAAATTCTTAGATAGTCGATTGATGTAACCTGTAAAGTTGCTTGATCAAAGAATTTATCAGCTCCATCGTCATCCATTCGTTTTCGTAGACCAGCCAAAAAATTACATATCATATTGCCTAAAAATACTCCAGAAGATTTTAAAGTCAGAATTTTGTTTTAATTTTTTCTTTCTTTTTTGAATATAAAATAAAATGCTTAAAAATTATCGTAAACAAAAGGAACAAATGAATATCGTTCAAAATTTCATAATTAATCAAATGTTACCATATTCGGAAATATGTTGAATAGAGAAATCAAGTTTTTTTTCTAGTAAACGCTCAAATTTTTCCCGTACATTATTATTTTCGCGACATATTGGTATTCCGGATTCTGAAATATTTTCATCTTTTTAATTTTCATGCAAATTGAAATGATCTCATAGTGAGAAGTAATATTTTAATTATCAAATAAGTTGCAAATATATAAAACTTAACAAAAATTTGCTTCATTTTCTATCTTTTTATCATTTGACTTTTTTTTTTAAACGATTCAAAAATTTTTTTTTCAAAATATTTTAACAAATTTTTCAAACTGCAAACTGTTTTGTACTATTTTTATATGAAACCAGTCTTGGAAAACATACAAAAAATGGTTGATAAAAGTGATCCATCGATGTCATTAAGGAATTTGTTCTCTTTTAGAGTGATGAAAAAAAAAAAAAAAAAACGAAAGATTAT